CTCCAGCTCCACACCACCAACAAGCTCCAGCTCCACACCACCAACAACCTCCAGCTCCACACCACCAACAAGCTCCAGCTCCACACCACCAACAAGCTCCAGCTCCACACCACCAACAAGCTCCAGCTCCACACCACCAGCAAGCTCCAGCTCCACACCACCAGCAAGCTCCAGCTCCACACCACCAGCAAGCTCCAGCTCCACACCACCAACAAGCTCCAGCTCCACACCACCAGCAACTGAACCCAACATTTATAAATTCATCATAGATCAATACAAATACAAACGTCACAGCAAATACAAACACAAATGAATACATTATTACAAACACATAGGACAATCGTCATTGAGCAAAGAACGTAAATCAGAAAACATGAAACAACAAATTGAAAGATATAATAAACACACAATAATAACCTGCACAACCCAGACGGGGCGGGCCACAACCCAGACGGGGCGGGCCACAACCCAGACGGGGCGGGCCACAACCCAGACGGGGCGGGCCACAACCCAGACGGGGCGGGCCACAACCCAGACGGGGCGGGCCACAACCCAGACGGGGCCGGCCACAACCCAGACGGGGCGGGCCACAACCCAGACGGGGCGGGCGGGGCACAACCCAGACGGGGCGGGCCACAACCCAGACGGGGCGGGCCACACCCCAGACGGGGCGGGCCACAACCCAGACGGGGCGGGCCACAACCCAGACGGGGCGGGCCACAACCCAGACGGGGCGGGCCACAACCCAGACGGGGCGGGCCACAACCCAGACGGGGCGGGCCACAACACAGACGGGGCGGGCCACAACCCAGACGGGGCGGGCCACAACCCAGACGGGGCGGGCCACAACCCAGACGGGGCGGGCCACAACCCAGACGGGGCGGGCCACAACACATACTGTAAACACCAAAACGGCACAAATAAACACCAGAAACAAAATTACGAAATTAAAAATCGCCAAACACACACACAACCCACGGAACACCCAGCACACACAGTACTAACATTGCGAACGCCCGACCGGAACACACAGGAACCGGGAACTAGCGTCAACCACACCCCAAACACACATGAAAGTAAATACCGGATCACGCAGGGCCTGGCCCCCCCCCCCCCAAAAAAAAAAAAAAACATAAAACACACACACACACACACACACACACACACACACACACACACCAGAAAGCACACACACACACACCCATAACACCACAGAAACAAAACAGACATTATAGCATACACAGCAACAAGTATAAACGTTCAGGGAGCATATCATGCAAGCACACACACTACGCATATTTATCATGAAACTCCCGCGCCAGAAACCACAAGCAGTACGCCTCCCAAATGAGCTTAACGTCAACGGACACCCGACTACCAGGCGACGCACAAGGCTGAGGCATCAGATCCGGCACCCCAGAAACAAAACACTTAGCCCTCGGTACCCATATTGTAGAGGAGTACCACGGAACCGGACGCACCCGGTCATCCATGGTGACTTCCAAAGATTGCGACGCACTGAGCATGACCCCCTGAGGGTGCAACCACAGGGAGGGGTGCCGCACGAGGGGGGCTGATCACTATGGGACATACTAGGGTATCCACAGAGAGCCGCATTGAGAGTCACACGGGCCTTCACACCAGGGGTAACCACAGGGGACACAGATGCGCCAGGGCCCCCACCACCGTGCACAGTATCATAGGCCTCACGGCTCATATCCTTCCTGAGTACCACTACGAGGTCACGATCACTAGGGGCAACATCCCAAGGACAGCCTATGTGCGCTCCGTCATAGACTATGCCGCACCAGTTCTGTGCACCTACTCCCAAAGCGATATGAAAAAGCTTGAACGCATTCAAAATGAAGCCATGACAATCATTCTTGGAGTTCCAAGAACTGCCAAAACGTCTAATCTACGAGAGGAGTTGTCCCTTCCCAGTGTTAAAAGCAGAATTCAGGAGCTGAATACTAAGTTTGCAATTAGGATAGCCAGAGATCCCCATTACAAAGATATTGCTAAGAAAAAACTGAGCTCTGTGCTACTTTCAGGGGGAAACAGGAGAAGCAAAAAATGGCTTCACAGATCAGTCTGCTACCTCGAAGAGCTTCACCTGCTTGAGCAAGCCCGTGAGCTCCTGCCTGTAGAGAGGTTACCTCCCTGGGAGGATGACTCATGCAAGATCATCATCAATGAAATGGCAACGAAAAAATACAACATGATACCACAAGAAATGAGGCACAAGTATCTCGAGGAAATTTATAAAGAAGCCGGAGATGAACTAGATCAAATCTACACTGACGGGTCATCTAATCCTGTCAATGGCAGGGCTGGTGCAGCATACACGGTAATCAAGGATAATACTTTCCAAGGCAGAAATGAAGAAAAAGCACGTATTGAGAACTATGCCTCTTCAACGCAAGCAGAGCTAACTGCCATTGTTATGGTGTTAAGGTTTCTTGAACGGAACACTAATGGTGCAGTGATTTGCACCGATTCAAAAGCAGCACTGCAAAGCCTAAGTAAAAATCGGGCAGAAAATCTTGCAATAGTCGCTGAATTTAAGAGAGCTGTGAGAGTACTTACCAATCAGGGAAGAGTCATCAAGTTTCTGTGGATCCCCTCCCAGGTTGGAATATGTGGGAATGAACGAGCAGATGTGCTGGCTGCTGAAGGCGCTGAAGGAAACCATATTGAAAACTTCATACCCAAGACTCTACTACAAATTAGAGGTATTGTCGGCAACATCACGGTGACAAGTTAACTGAGGAAAGGAGGATAGTAGCACAAACCAGTGAATCTATACGATGGTACAACGTGGTTGCAGCTGGCAATCCCAATCATTATGGCCGAAGAGGAGGAGGACGAGGGATAGAATCAGTAATAGCGAGAATCCGTCTTGGATACAAATATCCTTAGAGATATGGAATGGAAACAACAGTTGATCAGCGAAGTTGCAGAATCTGTGATGAGAGTGACGGACACCGCCTTGACCACTATCTACGTTAATGTGAACACCTGAGAGACATTAGAAATATGTGTAGAATAATAAACCCCACATTGTTTGAGTTAAGAAAACACTATTTGTCAAATATTGATACTGGTCTTAAAAGATTCCCCCATTTTGCACCCGCAAGATAACGTAAGCTTTTACGGGTTGATAGATGTTAATCTTCTTGTTTGAGGAGCTGTTCACTTGAGACAGTTAAGCAAGTCCCAGCTGTGTCTGGGTACAAGTGACAGGATGAACAACCCAGCGGGTTTTCTTCCTATTGGGGAGTGTTGTACATGCTGCTATGATGGTGTGTCCACTCACAAGATGAGTGGCGCTGCCCAATAAACTCGCCCCTCGGGGCAAAATTTAAAAAAAATTAAAAAAATATCCCAAGGAGGCGATCCAACAGCAGTAGGCACTGGAGGCGACACAGGAGGCCTCACAGGTCTCACTATCAACCTCATCGTCACACTAGGCAGCCCACCCACGAGGGGGTGACACGCTCCTAGCCCTCCGGGATAGCTTGGACACAGGCCGCAGATCATCTGAACTGTCTCCCCCAGCAGGAGGCACCCGAGTAGAGCTCACGGCTGGCTGCATCTCACTGTGCAACACGCGAGCCGGATAAACAACAGCCGCACCCACAGGGGGTACAGGCCCACACCCCACCGGCGACACTAGAACAGGAACTGGAGATAAGGCCGGCGGGGCAGGTGGAGGCAAAGGAGCCGGCTGCGGCGAGAAATCCGACGGCGGGGATGGGTCCGCATCCACCACTACCCCGACACCCACACCACGAACCGCACTTACTGGAACGTCACCCGACACCGGGTCCGTCCTCTCACAAGTGGTACCGCCCATAACCGAGACATCCTCATGCTCAGGCAATGGAGGAAAATCCGCCTCATAGAACACGTTAATCCGATTATACATCCGAGCGTCGCAGGCAGCAGCCAAATGCCCACGGTAGGAGAAGCAGACCGTAAAGCCAGCAAGTTTGAAAGAAGAAGGCACATTCCTACGAAGAACCATTTTAGCTGTCCTGCAGCCATTATTGAGTCTCTTAACGTCGCCGGTCGTGTACCTACATACACGAATAGAGTCCACACGCCCATACCTGGCAAGAGTCCTACGGAGATGATCCTCAGACATTTCAAACGGTGCATTCCTAATTGACACGTATGTGTACTCCACACTCAATTTCGTCACAGTCACAGAGCCGAGACCATAGTTCAGCCGCACCTCCTTATCCTCATACTGGTCGAGAAGCCTCCTGAACAAGCCACTCTCGGCTAACTTCACAACCACTCTGTCCTCACGAACGACCTGTAGACCAGCGAGATCTTCCACCTTCACGCCCATAACTGCAAACAGAGTGTTGCTGATGATGCCAATATCCACCCGACAGGTAAATGTCAGCCCAGCCGAGTCCTTCCTCCTCAGTGGCGGCACGTAAGTCCCCATACTGAGACTGGAAAAGTCACCCCGCAATGGCAAACAACCACCCGACAGGGTAACCGACAACTGACCAGCAGGGAGACCAGAGGAACGTCCATATTTGGGGACTGAAAAAAAATTGAGCCAAAAACGTATGCCAGGGTAACTGGGAACTGTCAGGTCTGCTAAGGCTATTTTCCTGGACCCAAAACCAAAATTGAACGGCTTGTGGTCTCCCCCTATTGCTATCTTGTGTGGTGGGGGGAGGTGGGGAACAAGCCGGGTGGTACCGTGTGGTGGGGGGGGGGGGACAAGCCGGGTGGTACCGTGTGGTGGGGGGGGGGCAAGCCGGGTGGTACCGTGTGGTGGGGGGGGGGGACAAGCCGGGTGGTACCGTGTGGTGGGGGGGGGGGGGCAAGCCGAGTTGTACGTGTGTTGGGGGTGAGGGGCGGGCGGGAACAAGTCGGGTGGTACCGTGTGTGTGTGTTGGGGGATGGGGGGAGAAGGAGAACAAGCCGGGTGGTACCGTGTGGGGGGGGGGGGGGGGGGAGTACAAGCCGAGTAGTACCGTGTGTGGTGGGGCGGGCGGGGTGAAGCCGGGTCCGACCATGTGGGAGATGTTCTTGGAGTTGAGCCACTTGACAATGATGAACTCCCCGAGCGCTGAGAAGATGAACACCATGCACCCCGCCATCCACACGTCGATGGCCTGCACAGGAGAAAGGACGGGTCAGGCACCTGAGAGATGGGGTCAGGCACCTGAGAGATGGGGTCAGGCATCTGAGAGATGGGGTCAGGCATCTGAGAGATGGGGTCAGGCATCTGAGAGATGGGGTCAGGCATCTGAGAGATGGGGTCAGGCATCTGAGAGATGGGGTCAGGCATCTGAGAGATGGGGTCAGGCACCTGAGAAATGGGGTCAGGCACCTGAGAGATGGGGTCAGGCACCTGAGAGATGGGGTCAGGCAGCTGAGAAGCAGGGTCAGGTAACTGAGAGACTGGAATCTGGAAGCTGAGAGGTACGATCAGGGAGCTGAGAGAAGATATAGAAGATCAAACACCTAAGATATAGTCCTTATGAGAAAAAATGAAAAATGCAGGATAAGATCTGGGAATAAATTCAAGTTATTATCCCTACCGATTATTAATTAATAGGGACGAAAGGCAATGTAAACCTTTCTGAAAAAATAAGATACTGGCCTTAAGTGTCAAATGGATGGAATGATAATTTGATAGATACACATTATCATTCCATCCTCGAGAGAATGGATGATATGATAATTTCAGACGAAACAAGTATTATGCAGATATCTTTGCTCACAATATTTATATTTAACCTAACTTAGCCATCCTAGGTCTAACTCATGCTATCTGAGGCCTAATATAGTATATATATATATATATATATATATATATATATATATATATATATATATATATATATATATATATATATATATATACGCTATATCAGGCCTAGGAATATATTAGTTTGGGTTTTAACTTTAGTTTTTCTTGATTGAATAAAAAAGTACAAAAAGCTGCTTACCGGGGCTCCATATTGGTTACAGTCGACTACAGAGTTACATTAGCAGGCATTTGACTGTATTTGCCAGTTCAGCGTCAAGATATACAGATAATTGTATACAGCAGCAGGTATAGATACATAGAGGTGGTTGAGGGCTCGCGGGCCACGAACCTTGACGTAGGCGACGGGCGGGAGGCCCTCCTTGATCCCGGTGAAGAGTGTGGTGAGGGTGAGGAGCGAGGTGACCACCAGCGTCACGCGCCCCGGGATGGCGTCCAGGTCCATCCAGAAGCTGAACCAGGAGAGCGCCACCACCAGGAAGGACGGCACGAAGGTCTGCACCAGGTGGTGACCGATCTCCCGGGAGAACTCCAGCTCCAGCACCAGCTGCCGCACGTCTCGCTCACCATCTGCCAGCACAGAGCACCACTAACAGTCAACACACCTCGCCCACTCGTACCCATTAGCTTAGAAATTAAAATCTCGTAAAAATAAAAAATAAAATGATGTAAATCAAAGACCATGAAGAGACAGACCATAAATAATTCCCAGGAGACCAAACGTGTGAGAGTAACGTTTAATGAACAAAGGTTTAACGTTGCCAACCATGATTCATTGTTAGATCACCGTTGTTTGTTCGCCCCCTGGAGGGTTGAGAGCCGGGGTTCTGTTGGTTGAGGGAGAAGTGTACGGTTGACGGAGGGTTGAGGGGGGAGGTGTACGGTTGACGGAGGGTAGAGGAGAGGGGGAAGGGAGAGGGTCACTTACGGCCGAGCTCGTCAAAGGACACGTTCCTGACGTAGTTGTTCAAGGGCTTCTTGAGGGAGAACTGCAGCAACTTGAGCTCCTTGTTCAGCATCACCGGCGAGAACTTCCTCCAGTTGAACTTCACCTCGTTTGGCGAGTACATGACTGTGGGAGAGTACAGAGAAGGTTGACATGACTGTGGGAGAGTACACGGAAGGTTGAAATTTCATTGTTAAAATTTACTTGTGTTTTGTGTGTCTTCTCATTACCTTACCACAGACGAAGTTCCAGATTTTCTATTTTTTGTTTCTATATGTGACGAGGCCATACCCCTAGCTTTTGAACAGCCGAACACCAACGCGTTACCGTCACAATATATATATATATATATATATATATATATATATATATATATATATATATATATATATATATATATATATATATATATATATATATATATATATATATATATATATATATATATATATATATATATATATATATATATATATATATATATATATATATATATATATATATATATATGTCGTACCTAATAGCCAGAACGCACTTCTCAGCCTACTATTCAAGGCCCGATTTGCCTAATAAGCCAAGTTTTCATGAATTAATGTTTTTTCGTCTACCTAACCTACCTAACCTAACCTAACCTAGCTTTTTTTGGCTACCTAACCTAACCTTACCCATAAATATAGGTTAGGTTAGGTTAGGTAGGCATGGTTAGGTTCGGTCATATATCTACGTTAATTTTAACTCCAATAAAAAAAAATTGACCTCATACATAGAGAAAAGGGTTGCTTTATCATTTCATAAGAAAAAAATTATAGTAAATATATTAATTCAGGAAAACTTGGCTTATTAGGCAAATCGGGCCTTGAATAGTAGGCTGAAAAGTGAGTTCTGGCTACTAGGTACGACATATATATATATATATATATATATATATATATATATATATATATATATATATATATATATATATATATATATATATATATATATATATATATATATATTATATATATATATAAACATATGTCGTACCTAGTAGCCAGAACGCACTTCTCGGAATACTATGCTAGGCTCGATTTGCCTAATAGGGGTTTATTTGAAATATTTTTATTATATTATATTAAGAACATAAATTATTGAGTTATGTTAGTTAAGGTTAGGTTAAAATAGGTTAGGTTAGGTTAGGTAGGGTAGGTTGGGTTCAGACATTTATCTCCATTAGTTGTAACTCACATTTACAAAAAATTACTCATACATAAAGAAATGGATAGCTTTATCATTTCATAAGAAAAAAAAATAGAAAAATATTAAAATTCAGGAAAACTTGGCTTATTAGGCAAATCGGGCCTTGCATAGTAGGCCAAGAACTGCATTCTGGCTACTAGGTACATGTTTCGAGTTCTGTCCTGTGTTGAAAGTTTTGTTCTCCTCATCTCTCTCTCTCTTTCTCTCTCTCTCTCTCTCTCTTTCTCTCTCTCTCTCTCTCTCTCTCTCTCTCTCTCTCTCTCTCTCTCTCTCTCTCTCTCTCTCTCTCTCTCTCTCTCTCTCTCTCTCTCTCTCTCTCTCTCTCTCTCTCTCTCTCTCTCTCTCTCTCTCTCTCTCTCTCTCTCTCTCCTACACTCTCTCTCTCCTACACTCTCTCTCTCTCTCTCTCCCTCCTACTCCCCCCCCCCTCTCCCTCCCCGTGCGGGTACTCACAGCTCCTCATGATCATGAAGCACTTCTGGATGTCCATGGGGTAGTCGTGGAAGACCATCTGGCAGGCGATGGTACTGGAGATCCTGGACGAGTACCTGATGGTCTTGTTGTCGTACAGGGTGATGGAGGCGTAGGTGGTTGTCAGCGTGGTGATAACTGTGGGGAGGACCACGGTGTGGTGAGTGGTGGTGAGTGGTGGTGAGTGGTGGTGGTGGTGGTGAGTGGTGGTGGTGGTGGTGGTGGTGGTGGTGAGTGGTGGTGGTGGTGGTGGTGGTGAGTAGTGGTGGTGGTGCTGAGTGGTTGTTGTGGTGAGTGGTTGTGGTGGTGGTGGTGGTGGTTGTGGTGGTGGTGAGTGGTTGTGGTGAGTCCATTTCCATTTCTGAGCAATATGTTGTAAAATGGAGTTAGTATAATTTAGGGGTTTTGTTTGATATAATTAGGAAAAATTTACTCTAACTGCTACAAATTGGGATAATTTGGATGAATTTAGCTAATGTTGTGTTAGGACAGGTTAGCTTAGGTCTGGTCTGGTAGAGTTGGTGATAGAAAACACATCTGGATATTGGAAATAGATGGACACAACACCAGCTCCATGAAATGGTCTTGGGAGCTAGATATGTTGTGCCAAGACTGGATGTCGGATATTGGAAAAATATAATAAATTCAGATGGTATAAGTGAAATCTTTGGTAAAATGGGCTTTGACTGTGCTATGGTTCAAAACATTTTGGGTACATTTGGTGGAAATTGACTCAAGTAGGTAAAATTTAGGCGGGGCAGCATAAATTAAACCAACTTTCATTCAAATGTAGCTTGGGATATGTTAGGTCAGGTTAGGTAAGGTTGTGTAGGGTAGGATGGATGGAATAGGTGAGAACTTGGGTACAATGAACTTTGGATATGCTAAGATACATAACATTTGAGTATATTTGGTGGAAATTGGCTTAAATTAGGTTGAATTTAGGAGGGAAAGGCTTGAATTTAGCCAACTTTATTCAAATCTAGCTTTGAACATGCTAGGTTAGGTTAGGTAAGGTTGTGTAGGGTAGGTTGGACTAGATGAAAATGTGGGTAAAAATGGGCATTCGCTGTGATATGTTACAAAACATTGGCAATATTTGGTGGAAATGGAATGAAATTAGGTTGAATTTAGGTGGGAATAGCTTAAGTTTTGCCAACATTAATCAAATCTAGCTTGGGATATGTTAGGTTAGGTTTGGTGAGGTTGTATAAGTTAGGATATATAATATCTTAGGGGTAATGAACTTACATGTTCATAAAATAGTGTAAATTTACCTATTTGGGGGTTCGAGCTATAGCTGACTTATGTGTGGTCAGAGGTGACATAGGCTTGTATATGAGGATATGGGTTGCTTGTATTTAGTTAGTTTAACTTTTTCCAGGTTGAATTTTGGTTAAATTTGTGTAGTATATATGTATAATTTGTGATAGATTTAGACGAATTTAGGTTCTAATTGGTTGAATTTTTTGATAGGATATAGTAAATTTGCTTAAATTATCCTATAAATTAGTGACTTCACCTAACCCCACCTGCCCTAACATAACTAAGGCTAGAACCAATAAGTCATATAAAACAAATAAGGATGATGTGCCTAAATAAATATGGGTGACATGATTGACCAGGATCTAACAAGAAAGTATTAATAAGGCATTATAAACAATGGACATATGTGAGATGAATAATCTAGCACTAATAATTTGAGCAGAATCGTACATCTGGCAGCTTAGCGGATTAGTAGCTGTGTTCATAGGCTAGTCAACTGTCCTCACATCCGTCAAATAGTCATCCAAATGTCGCACCGCACTTCATCCATCTAGCAACTCTGCTGGATGCTGGCACCAGTCTGTTACCCCTGGCACCAGTCTGTCACCCCTGGCACCAGTCTGTCACCAGTGGCACCAGTCTGTCACCCCTGGCACCAGTCTGTCACCAGTGGCACCAGTCTGTCACCAGCGGCACCAGTCTGTCACCCCTGGCACCAGTCTGTCACCAGTGGCACCAGTCTGTCACCAGCGGCACCAGTCTGTCACCAGTGGCACCAGTCTGTCACCCCTGACACCAGTCTGTCACCAGTGGCACCAGTCTGTCACCCCTGGCACCAGTCTGTCACCAGTGGCACCAGTCTGTCACCAGCGGCACCAGTCTGTCACCAGTGGCACCAGTCTGTCACCAGTGACACCAGTCTGTCACCAGTGGCACCAGTCTGTCACCAGCGGCACCAGTCTGTCACCAGTGGCACCAGTCTGTCACCAGCGGCACCAGTCTGTCACCAGTGGCACCAGTCTGTCACCAGTGGCACCAGTCTGTCACCAGTGGCACCAGTCTGTCACCAGTGGCACCAGTCTGTCACCCCTGGCACCACTCTGTCACCAGTGGCACCAGTCTGTCACCAGCGGCACCAGTCTGTCACCCCTGGCACCAGTCTGTCACCAGCGGCACCAGTCTGTCACCAGTGGCACCAGTCTGTCACCAGTGGCACCAGTCTGTCACCAGCGGCACCAGTCTGTCACCAGTGGCACCAGTCTGTCACCAGTGGCACCAGTCTGTCACCCCTGGCACCAGTCTGTCACCCCTGGCACCAGTCTGTCACCAGTGGCACCAGTCTGTCACCAGCGGCACCAGTCTGTCACCAGTGGCACCAGTCTGTCACCAGTGGCACCAGTCTGTCACCAGTGGCACCAGTCTGTCACCAGTGGCACCAGTCTGTCACCAGTGGCACCAGTCTGTCACCAGTGGCACCAGTCTGTCACCAGTGGCACCAGTCTGTCACCCCTGACCCCAGTCTGTCACTCCTGGCACCAGTCTGTCACCCCTGGCACCAGTCTGTCACCCCTGGCACCAGTCTGTCACTCCTGACCCCAGTCTATCACCCCTGGCACCAGTCTGTCACCCCTGGCACCAGTCTGTCACTCCTGACCCCAGTCTGTCACCCCTGGCACCAGTCTGTCACCCCCGGCACCAGTCTGTCACCCTCTAACCCCAGTCTGTCACTCCTGGCACCAGTCTGTCACCCCCTAACCCCAGTCTGTCACTCCTGGCACCAGTCTGTCACCCCTGACACCAGTCTGTCACCCCTGACACCAGTCTGTCACCCCTGGCACCAGTCTGTCACTCCTGACCCCAGTCTGTCACCCCTGGCACCAGTCTGTCACCCCTGGCACCAGTCTGTCACCCCTGGCACCAGTCTGTCACCCCTGACACCAGTCTGTCACCCCTGGCACCAGTCTGTCACTCCTGACCCCAGCCTGTCACTCCTGGCACCAGTCTACCACCCCTGGCACCAGTCTGTCACCCCTGACACCAGTCTGTCACCCCTGGCACCAGTCTGTCACTCCTGACCCCAGTCTGTCACCCCTGGCACCAGTCTGTCACCCCTGGCACCAGTCTGTCACCCCTGGCACCAGTCTGTCACCCCTGACACCAGTCTGTCACCCCTGGCAGTAGTCTGTCACCCCTGGCACCAGTCTGTCACCCCTGGCACCAGTCTGTCACCCCTGGCACCAGTCTGTCACCCCTGGCACCAGTCTGTCACCCCTGGCACCTGTCTGTCACCCCTGGCACCAGTCTGTCACCTCTGACACCAGTCTGTCACCCCTGACACCAGTCTGTCACCCCTGGCACCAGTCTGTCACCCCTGGCACCAGGCTGTCACCCCTGGCACCAGTCTGTCACCCCTGGCACCAGTCTGTCACCCCCGGCACCAGTCTGTCACCACCGGCACCAGTCTGTCACCCCTGGCACCAGTCTGTCACCTCTGACACCAGTCTGTCACCCCTGACACCAGTCTGTCACCCCTGCCACCAGTCTGTCACCCCTGGCACCAGTCTATCACCCCTGGCACCAGTCTGTCACCCCTGGCACCAGTTTGTCACCCCTGGCACCAGTCTGTCACCCCCGGCACCAGTCTGTCACCCCTGACCACAGTCTGTCACCCCTGCCACCAGTCTGTCACCCCTGGCACCAGTCTATCACCCCTGGCACCAGTCTGTCACCCCTGGCACCAGTTTGTCACCCCTGGCACCAGTCTGTCACCCCCGGCACCAGTCTGTCACCCCTGACACCAGTCTGTCACCCCTGCCACCAGTCTGTCACCCCTGGCACCAGTCTATCACCCCTGGCACCAGTCTGTCACCACCGGCACCAGTCTGTCACCCCTGGCACCAGTCTGTCACCCCTGGCACCAGTCTGTCACCCCTGACACCTGGTGTTTCTACAGTCTTGCACAGCCAGTAAGACACAGTGTTTTGGGCAGATTGACTTAAAAGTTATCCAAACGAATTTATATAATCAGAAAATCGCCTGGCGCCTGGCGTTCCGCGAGCGCTTTGTCATGGGTTCGTATCCTGGCCGGGGAGGATTTACTGGGCGCAATTCCTTAACTGTAGCCTCTGTTTAACGCAACAGTAAAATGTGTACTTGGATGAAAAAACGATTCTTCGCGGCGGGGATCGTATTCCAGGGACCTGCCCGAAACGCTACGCGTACTAGTGGCTGTACAAGAATGTAACAACTCTTGTATATATCTAACAAAAAAAAAAAAAAAAAATCAGTAGGATCTGAGAGAGGGATTCGAACCTGTGCTCCCGGTAGTGCCAAGTGAACGCCTTACAACGCTATACCACGACATGGCGAATTCCTATAATGTTATATATGGACTGAAATTACACCAGAGACCTTGAAATTATTGCACACCTGGTCAACCAATCAGTGCTCATCATGTCTCGCCCTCTGACCAATCAGCACGCGTCATGTCTTCCTCACTAGCCAATCACGGCGTGCGTAAGCCTGCACAGTCTGCTATTGGTAGGAATACAGTTCGATACCTTTTTGATAATAGTAAGGAACAGAGCTTTTATTAGTAGCACAGTCACAGTGCGTCCCACTGTAACACGTCACAATGGGTCCCACTGTAACACGTCACAATGGGTCCCACTGTAACACGTCACAATGGGTCCCACTGTAACACGTCACAATGGGTCCCACTGTAACACGTCACAATGGGTCCCACTGTAACACGTCACAATGGGTCCCACTGTAACACGTCACAATGGGTCCCACTGTAACACGTCACAATGGGTCCCACTGTAACACGTCACAATGCGTCCCACTGTAACACGTCACAATGGGTCCCACTG